TAGGGTTCAGCCAGCGTTTGCAATGTAAGCGCAAAAAAATGTGTTTATTTACGACATCACATTACAAACCTCTAAAATTATCAGTGTTTCTCTACTATATTATGCATGTATTATACATATAAACCTTCCTCTTGAATTACTCTATCTATTAAAAAAAACGCATTAAAATCCGTTGCGTAGTTTTAAAGATCTAAGCATACATAGGGACAGACAGCGGTGGAAATGCGTTGCATGATTTCTTTACATAGCAACTCGCATGAAACGAACTTACCCTACCGTGCGTAAAGAAGTTTCACTTCAAGAACACAAATACAAAAACTTCTGCTGCATTTATCTTGTACCTACCTCTATATTGATAAATACTAGTAGTTTATTGAAATAAATGAAAAAGGTCAGCGAAAACCAGAGAAGTAATTTGTTCTATTTAAAATACAAATGCAAAATGCAAAATTGGCATTCAAATAAATCACACCTCAACCTATGGGTAACCGCATTTATAAATGTTGGTAAAAATTATAGCTAATGAAAGTTTTATGATTACCTTTGAGTTCCACGGAAAACTTGCAAACAGCTTTATTTCCAGCTTCATCCGAAGCCTCATAAACGACCTCTTCTTTACCCAAATAAAATTCTGATCCAGGACTCTACAATTTGATGAACATAAAGTATTAGATTTTATCCAAATTTCTAAATGGTATGAGATACAAAAAATGCATTGTTACAAACATTAATAGCTACATCAGAATGGTTTTAGTTTGTTTACGATGTACAGTGGCTCAGCATAAATAATAAATTTGCCCTTAAGCAGGCGTTCATTAATTACTTGAGGTGTTTTTTTTTTCAATTTAACCCCCTTTGGTGAAATTTTGCCTGAACCCTCTCATTTTTTGACCTCACGTAATTAATAGATGTCTCCTTTCTTTAAGACGATTTATTTATTTTTTAGATGTTACAAACGATGAGGGCGTAATTAAGTGAGGTGTCTTTTTTTTAGTTTGAACCCCCTCTCGGTGAAATTTTGCCGGTCCCTGTTTCTTTTGGCCTCACGTAATTAATGGGTGTCCTCTCTCTTCATAATGCTTTCCCTATGTATTTAGATGTTTTGTTTATTTTTAAATGTTACGAAAAATGAAGGCATAATTACGTGAGCTGCCTTTTTTAATTTGCCTCCCCTTCCCCTCTTTGTGAGACTTGATGAGCTTTTGATGGAACCCTCCCCCCTTTTGTTATCGTAATTATTCTTATTGCATTACGTATTGAGATTATTTTTTTATTTTTGGATAATGCTACGAATGATGAAGACGAAATGAAATGAGGTGTTTTTTTTCTAATTTGAATACCCCTTTGGTAAAGTTTGGTCGGATCGTAACCCCTTTTACCTCACGCAATTAATGGCCGTCCTCTATCGCCTTATTGTACCTTATTACCTACGCAATTAAATGCTTTATTTATTTTTTGGTAATGTTAGGAATGATGAAAGTGCAATTACGTGAGGTGTTTTTTTAAATTTTGATCACCCCCCGGGCGATATTGGGCGATTTTATGCCGGATCCCTCCCCCTTTTTAATCTCAATAATACTACAAATGATGAATGCATAATTTTTTAAGTTAGTTCTTTAAATTTGACTTCTCTCTCCTCTGAGACTTGATGAGATTTTGTCGGAACTCTCCCCCCTTTTGACTTCACATAATTAATAGTAAACGCCTACTCTCTACGAGTTTGGCTGAGAGTTGTCTCCTTCCTTTTCTGGCCTAGTGCTGTTCTTTTCTACTTTGCGCCAGTCAAACTGAAGGTCACATCTAATGGCGGATTTGCAGTCGTAGCCGCTCTAGGCCCCAGGCCATGTGCCGCCCCTTTCTCAGCACCCATCATTATAGACTAGATACATAATTCATGAATTTGTTATCATCAGTGATTTTTTTTGGCACGATTTGCCGCTCTTAATATCTGGCCGCCCTAGGCTCGGGCCTACTGGGCCTTATGGCAAATCCGCCAATAGTCACATCGCTACAGAAAGTAAACGAAGTATACGAATAATAAAGGCGTAATTAAGTGAGGTGTCTTTTTCTAATTTGGTCAAAATTAGATCTCCTCCCTTTGACATTGCGCAATTAATGGAAGTCCTCTCTCTCCTTATTATATTACCGACATATTTAGATGTTGTATTTATTTTTTGTTAATGCCACAAATGATGAAAGCACAATTACGTGAGGCATTTTTTTTTATAAACTTGGACCCCCTTGGTGGGATTTAGTGATTTTGAGCCGGACCTCTCTCTCTCCGCGATTAACGTTATCCTTACTGTACCTGTCAACTATCTACTCCATACCTTTGATTTAAATACTGACGAAACTTTTACGTTATCTGTAAAAGTGGGTTCTTGCCACACAAGCAGTTTGCTCTTCTTAGTTTTCGGTAGCACATCTTGAATATAGTGGGGACAATTGTAAACCTTTGGTGGTTCACTATCAATAACATTTATCACCAATTCACAGCTTGCTGTCAAGTTTCCATCGAACGCTTTGAAACTAATTTTCGTTTTGCCAACTAATAAATGCCGNGAGATTACTATTGAAATCAAAAGTTTCTACCAGTAGTGTATGATCATTCGAAGAGAATATGGATCGCTTCGAATCTATGTTGGAGTACGAATTGTTAAATTCTTTTTTGAAATCGGCTTCACTAATCAATAATGACGTGTCAAAAACTGCGAATAAATATTGTTAGATGCATTTAGTGTTTAATAACTTTTGCAGTTTAAAAAATATCTGTACCTAAATTGGATTTTTCGCAAACTGGAGTTTTGCCTGTCCATTTTCCGTTTCTGCAGATTAATCTTTCAGAACTGTTTTTAGCTAAAGAAAAACCATCTTCGCAGGAGTAAATAGCCACCAAAGGACCTTTTGTATTTTTTCGTTTGTTTCTGTATCTAACAAATTTTGTTAACATTCCATAAGGAACTTTTGGCAGTTTACTTTTAGAACAAATGGTGTAATTAGATTTTTTAATGAAAAATTTTATGATGAACAAGTACTTACCTCCACCAGTCAACAGAAGTGATTGGTTTTGGAAACCACACATTCATTGAACTCTGTCCAAGTGGTAAAGTAAAATTGAGTATTCCATTATTAGGACACCTTATATATAACTCAGAAGTGTTTGCTGTAAATAGTACATATCATTTTTCACAATTCTGCATGAATAACACAAATACATGCCAAAAATACAACGCGGTATATTTGAACTCCACCTTCCCGATGTTCCACAAAAGAGAACTTCTTCACCCTGTATTTCATAACCTTCCTCACAAGAAAAGAAACATTTGGTAAGTGCCTGTTCGTCATTGTTAGAACAGGCCATTTTTCCATGCTGAGGAATTAGTGGCTTAGAACAATCAATCTGTTTAGAACAACTTATCTTATCACTCAATAGCTGAAAACCTTCTGGACAGCTACAGAGAAAACTACCATGCGTGTTTTGACAAATATGTGAACACTGTTTGGAACCCTTGTTTTCCTGACATTCATTAATATCTTCACAAGATTTTTGATCGCGTTCTAGTTTAAATCCTACTCTACATGAGCAAAATTTATTATTCTCTTGAGATATATTACAAAAATGAGAGCAATCCCCATTTTTGACCAAGCAAGGATTTTGTTCAGAGCATGACTTCCCCATCAAGTAAAATCCCTCTGGGCAAGAACATTTTACTTCGTTGTGACTTTCGATGCAAAAGTGGGAACATCCGCCGTTATTATAAGCGCAGGAGTTTAAAGCCAAACAAGTTTTATTCTTGATAACAAATCCCTGGGGACATTTACACAAAGGTCTTCCATTCGCATTTTTACAGATGTGCGAACAGCCACCGTTATCTTTGGAACAAGGATTTGAATCGACACAAGTTTTGCCGTCAGAAAGGTAGAAACCTTTGGGACACGAACATTTTATTCCATTTTGGAATTCTTTGCAGTAATGAGAACATCCACCATTTTTTATCTGGCAAGAATATTGCTTCACACACGAACTATTTTGTAAAACAAATCCAGATGGACAATTACACGAAGGTTTTCCGTCAACGTTTTCGCATATATGACTACAACCACCGTTATTTATAAAGCATGGGTCAAAAGGGACGCACTTTCCATTTTTTATGTAATAATCTTCGGGGCATAGGCATGCTTCTGTTTCGTCTATCAAAACACACTCTTTACTGATTCCGTTTTCATTGTAACGTTTGCAAATGTTTGGGTCCATTCGACGACAAACTATTTTATCAAATAGTTCATAATTTTCCGGACATACTGAAGAATTCCGGTTAACTTCAGGGCTAAAAGATGGACAGAAACACAGCAATATCTTTTCTCCAACATTACAACTGTAACATTCATCCTTGCGTTTTGTTGAACATTGTTTCCGTTTGGTACAGTTAAAATTGTCGACCAGTTCCATGTCGTAGGGACAGAAACATTTAGATAATCCGTTATCGTCCGAACAGTAGTGGGAACACCCACCATTGTTAACAGAACAAGCGTAGGCTTTTTTACAATTTTTACCATCATTGGTCGCTATAAAACCACTTGGACATGCACACTGATATGATCCTTCCAAATTTGCACACAAATGTGAACAGTTACCGTTATGCTCCATGCATTCATTAACATCTACACAAGTGCGATTATCGCTGGACAGTTTAAATCCTTTTTGGCAATCGCATTTGTATGAACCTAATGAATTAATGCATTTCTGAGAACATACATGCAAATTGCACTCATCTATATCAGTGCAAGTTTTTTGGTCACTGTCCAAATCGTATCCCTCGAAGCAGGAACAGTAATACGATCCCTGGGTGTTGATACATTTTTGAGAACAAACATCGTTTGTGTCTGGATGACACTCGTCATTGTCTATGCAATCGCGTTCATTATCTTTCAAAGAAAATCCTTCAAAACAGCTACATGAGAAGGATCCAACAGAGTTAATGCATAGTTGGGAGCAATTATTCATTACTTGCGAGCTACATTCATCAATATCATCGCATGTTCTTCCATTTCCTAGGAGATAAAATCCTTCTTTGCATTGACACTTGTAACTTCCTGGTGTGTTCGTACATAAATGATCGCAGTCAGAAAGACCTGAATTACATTCATCAACGTCTTTACATTTAGAGCCGTCAGATGATAGAATGTATCCATCCGGACAAACGCATTCCATATGTTCGGAGGAATCTATGAAACGATATGTGCATAAAACTTCTGAATTATGAAAAGAATTCCCATGGTCTCTGTCGTCCCTTCCGAGATTACTATTGAAATCAAAAGTTTCTACCAGTAGTGTATGATCATTCGAAGAGAATATGGATCGCTTCGAATCTATGTTGGAGTACGAATTGTTAAATTCTTTTTTGAAATCGGCTTCACTAATCAATAATGACGTGTCAAAAACTGCGAATAAATATTGTTAGATGCATTTAGTGTTTAATAACTTTTGCAGTTTAAAAAATATCTGTACCTAAATTGGATTTTTCGCAAACTGGAGTTTTGCCTGTCCATTTTCCGTTTCTGCAGATTAATCTTTCAGAACTGTTTTTAGCTAAAGAAAAACCATCTTCGCAGGAGTAAATAGCCACCAAAGGACCTTTTGTATTTTTTCGTTTGTTTCTGTATCTAACAAATTTTGTTAACATTCCATAAGGAACTTTTGGCAGTTTACTTTTAGAACAAATGGTGTAATTAGATTTTTGGGGCTTAGGGACCAAACCTTTTGAATTACTAGTTTCCGTTGTTACTGAAAATTTAAGATAACGAAGTCCAGAAGTTTTATTTTCTTCTTGTTCTACTTATGTACAAATCATCATAAAAATTAATGAAATGCTATCACATTATCATAATGTGCGAATATAAATTGTTACTTTCTTAGTAATACAATAATGAATAATTAAATAAAATTAAACGAAAAGTTTTACATGAAATGTTGTCTTAAGAAAATCTTTGCTTTCAATTGTAGGAGTTTGCTTCTCAAAAATGAAAATAAAACCCTTTTCCGCGGAATTTAACAAACGAAACAAGGCTTTAAATTGTGAAAAACATCTTTGTTGTGTCGTTGTAAAAAAGTTTCACAATATAATTTCCAATTTATTGTTTTAAAGACCAGTTAAAGTAGGAAATTTTTATCAACTTCTAATTTTATAATATGATTGCGGTAATTTATAACGAAATTTACTAATCAAATTAAAAGTTTTAATTAAATCATTTTACTTGTTAGAAAAAAATTGAGATTGATGTTAAAAAAATTCTTACCTATAGTAATTGTAATGGTTAATGAAATTAATACACAAGTAAGTAAGGCTCGCATTTTTACTAATTTTTCTGTAACACGTGCTTAGAGAAACTGATGATTGTAAGTTCTAATGTCTTCGTACCTTGGTTTAGATAACGCATTCTATCCCTGCTATAAAACAAACTTTATGTTGGCTTTGTTTGCCTATTTCGGCTTAAAAAAATAAAATACGACTTTTACAACGTATTCTAATGTTGTATGAGGGTATATAATTAAAAATAATCCTCGCCTTTGCCCGCTATATACATTTACAATGTAAACTATAATGCCAAATTATCCAATGATTAAAAATTACTTATACTAATATTTGAAAAATGACTTAGCATTAAATATAATCGTTAAAAATACAGACAAATAAAAAAAAATATAAAGTCGTTTTACATTGATAGGAAGCTGCATTATCCATATTTAAAAAATTAGAATGGTAACATTAAATAGTTGTTTGTGTAATTCATATATTACTTTATTTATTTATACTACTTAACATGTCAAAATTTTTTGGAGAAAAGTAATTTTAATTTAGAAAAACAGATGTATAAGTATATTATATATTACACTTTTTAAATGATACTTAAAACACTGAATTAAAAGAAATTATCTGTTTATAATTAATAATTTTAGCTAACTTATCTTTTTTATGTTAATAAATAATAATACTATTACAAGGTTTTTNTAAAGTTTTAAGTTAAAAGATTATCAAATTTCATTTTTAGTTAAAAAGAATGTACCGATTTCGTATTTTGCCAAAAAATAATGGACAATTTTACAATGATTGAGTTTCAAAAAAAAAATATTAAAATTGTATGATGAACAAGCACCTACCTCCACCAGTCAACAGAAGTGATTGGTTTTGGAAACCACACATTCATTGAACTCTGTCCAAGTGGTAAAGTAAAATTGAGTATTCCATTGTTAGGACACCTTATATACAACTTAGAAGTGTTTGCTGTAAATAATACATATCATTTTTCACAATTCTGTATGAATAACACAATATACATGCCAAAAATGCAACGCGGTATATTTGAACTCCACCTTCCCGATGTTCCACAAAAGAGAACTTCTTCACCCTGTATTTCATACCCTTCCTCACAGGAAAACAAACATTTGGTAAGCTCCTGTTCGTCGTTGTATGAACAGGCCATTTTTCCATGCTGAGGAATTAGTGGCTTAGAACAATCAATCTGTTTAGAACAACTTATCTTATCACTTAATAGCTGAAAACCTTCTGGACAGCTACAGAGAAAACTACCATGCGTGTTTTGACAAATATGTGAACACTGTTTGGAACCCTTGTTTTCCTGACATTCATTAATATCTTCACAAGATTTTTGATCGGGTTCTAGTTTAAATCCTACTCGACATGAGCAAAATTTATTATTCTCTTGAGATATATTACAAAAATGAGAGCAATCCCCATTTTTGACCAAACAAGGATTTTGTTCAGAGCATGACTTCCCCGTCAAGTAAAATCCCTCTGGGCAAGAACATTTTACTTCGTTGTGACTTTCGATGCAAAAGTGGGAACATCCGCCGTTATTATAAGCGCAGGAGTTTAAAGCCAAACAAGTTTTATTCTTGATAACAAATCCCTGGGGACATTTACACAAAGGTCTTCCATTCGCATTTTTACAGATGTGCGAACAGCCACCGTTATCTTTGGAACAAGGATTTGAATCGACACAAGTTTTGCCGTCAGAAAGGTAGAAACCTTTGGGACACGAACATTTTATTCCATTTTGGAATTCTTTGCAGTAATGAGAACATCCACCATTTTTTATCTGACAAGAATATTGCTTCACGCACGAACTATTTTGTAAAACAAATCCAGATGGACAATTACACGAAGGTTTTCCGTCAACGTTTTCGCATATATGACTACAACCGCCGTTATTTATAAAGCATGGGTCAAAAGGGACGCACTTGCCATTTTTTATGTAATAATCTTCGGGGCATAGGCATGCTTCTGTTTCGTCTATCAAAACACACTCTTTACTGATTCCGTTTTCATTGTAACGTTTGCAAATGTTTGGGTCCATTCGACGACAAACTATTTTATCAAATAGTTCATAATTTTCCGGACATACTGAAGAATTCCGGTTAACTTCAGGGCTAAAAGATGGACAGAAACACAGCAATATCTTTTCTCCAACATTACAACTGTAACATTCATCCTTGCGTTTTGTTGAACATTGTTTCCGTTTGGTACAGTTAAAATTGTCGACCAGTTCCATGTCGTAGGGACAGAAACATTTAGATAATCCGTTATCGTCCGAACAGTAGTGGGAACACCCACCATTGTTAACAGAACAAGCGTAGGCTTTTTTACAATTTTTACCATCATTGGTCGCTATAAAACCACTTGGACATGCACACTGATATGATCCTTCCAAATTTGCACACAAATGTGAACAGTTGCCGTTATGCTCCATGCATTCATTAACATCTACACAAGTGCGATTATCGCTGGACAGTTTAAATCCTTTTTGGCAATCGCATTTGTATGAACCTAATGAATTAATGCATTTCTGAGAACATACATGCAAATTGCACTCATCTATATCAGTGCAAGTTTTTTGGTCACTGTCCAAATCGTATCCCTCGAAGCAGGAACAGTAATACGATCCCTGGGTGTTGATACATTTTTGAGAACAAACATCGTTTGTGTCTGGATGACACTCGTCATTGTCTATGCAATCGCGTTCATTATCTTTCAAAGAAAATCCTTCAAAACAGCTACATGAGAAGGATCCAACAGAGTTAATGCATAGTTGGGAGCAATTGTTCATTATTTGCGAGCTACATTCGTCGATATCATCGCATGTTCTTCCATTTCCTAGGAGATAAAATCCTTCTTTGCATTGACACTTGTAACTTCCTGGTGTGTTCGTACATAAATGATCGCAGTCAGAAAGACCTGAATTACATTCATCAACATCTTTACATTTAGAGCCGTCAGATGATAGAATGTATCCATCCGGACAAACGCATTCCATATGTTCGGAGGAATCTATGAAACGATATGTGCATAAAACTTCTGAATTATGAAAAGAATTCCCATGGTCTCTGTCGTCCCTTCCGAGATTACTATTGAAATCAAAAGTTTCTACCAGTAGTGTATGATCATTCGAAGAGAATATGGATCGCTTTGAATCTATGTTGGAGTACGAATTGTTAAATTCTTTTTTGAAATCGGCTTCACTAATCAATAATGACGTGTCAAAAACTGCGAACAAATATTGTTAGATGCATTTAGTGGTTAATAACTTTTACAGTTTAAAAAATATCTGTACCTAATTTGGATTTTTCGCAAACTGGAGTTTTGCCTGTCCATTTTCCGTTTCTGCAGATTAATCTTTCAGAACTGTTTTTAGCTAAAGAAAAACCATCTTCGCAGGAGTAAATAGCCACCAAAGGACCTTTTGTATTTTTTCGTTTGTTTCTGTATCTAACAAATTTTGTTAACATTCCATAAGGAACTTTTGGCAGTTTACTTTTAGAACAAATGGTGTAATTAGATTTTTGTGGCTTAGGGACCAAACCTTTTGAATTACTAGTTTCCGTTGTTACTGAAAATTTAAGATAACGAAGTCCAGAAGTTTTATTTTCTTCTTGTTCTACTTATGTACATATCATCATAAAAATTAATGAAATGCTATCACATTATCATAACGTGCGAATATAAATTGTTACTTTCTTAGTAATACAATAATGAATAATTAAATAAAATTAAACGAAAAGTTTTACATGAAATGTTGTCTTAAGAAAATCTTTGCTTTCAATTGTAGGAGTTTGCTTCTCAAAAATGAAAATAAAACCCTTTTCCGCGGAATTTAACAAACGAAACAAGGCTTTAAATTGTGAAAAACATCTTTGTTGTGTCGTTGTAAAAAAGTTTCACAATATAATTTCCAATTTATTGTTTTAAAGACCAGTTAAAGTAGGAAATTTTTATCAACTTCTAATTTTATAATATGATTGCGGTAATTTATAACGAAATTTACTAATCAAATTAAAAGTTTTAATTAAATCATTTTACTTGTTAGAAAAAAATTGAGATTGATGTTAAAAAAATTCTTACCTATAGTAATTGTAATGGTTAATGAAATTAATACACAAGTAAGTAAGGCTCGCATTTTTACTAATTTTTCTGTAACACGTGCTTAGAGAAACTGATGATTGTAAGTTCTAATGTCTTCGTACCTTGGTTTAGATAACGCATTCTATCCCTGCTATAAAACAAACTTTATGTTGGCTTTGTTTGCCTATTTCGGCTTAAAAAAATAAAATACGACTTTTACAACGTATTCTAATGTTGTATGAGGGTATATAATTAAAAATAATCCTCGCCTTTGCCCGCTATATACATTTACAATGTAAACTATAATGCCAAATTATCCAATGATTAAAAATTACTTATACTAATATTTGAAAAATGACTTAGCATTAAATATAATCGTTAAAAATACAGACAAATAAAAAAAAATATAAAGTCGTTTTACATTGATAGGAAGCTGCATTATCCATATTTAAAAAATTAGAATGGTAACATTAAATAGTTGTTTGTGTAATTCATATATTACTTTATTTATTTATACTACTTAACATGTCAAAATTTTTTGGAGAAAAGTAATTTTAATTTAGAAAAACAGATGTATAAGTATATTATATATTACACTTTTTAAATGATACTTAAAACACTGAATTAAAAGAAATTATCTGTTTATAATTAATAATTTTAGCTAACTTATCTTTTTTATGTTAATAAATAATAATACTATTACAAGGTTTTTTGTATTCAAAGGATGTGTTACAAACTTCTAATGAAATTATATATTTTTTTTAAATATGTATACATATACCTACATATAGAGAATAAACATGGATATTAACATCCTAGTGTAGGCAGAATATCGCCATCTAGTGAATATCTCATATTAACAAGTTTAAAATTTTTTATTTTTGTTGAGTGTTATGTTCCTTTACCTTAGGCAATTCTGTATACACAACAGGATAACACGTCAAGGTTGCCTAACATTTCAACCAGTTGACAATAATTAATTTAAGAGTCTAACTTCAACCTTATTTAAAATAAACATAACCTTAATCGAGTTTATGAATGGTTTATTTTGATAAAAAGACCTGTAAATAGAGAAAGTATGAATTTTACTGTAAAATTTCTAGCAACTCTCAATCCTTCTATAACAAGGCAATTACATACACCACAATTAATTTTTATACTACGAAATGCTTCAGTTAAAAGCAAGTCCTTAAATAAAATAGCTATAAATTGCACGAATTGTATACAAATAAGGAACTTTTCAAGAACAGCAACAAATTTTAACAAAAATAAAGAAAATGATACATTAAAAAATTCTGAACGAATACGAGTATATACTGGACCATTAGCAACTCAAGTTCGATTAGTCAAAGTAAGTTAATGTAGAATACAAGAAGCAAAAAATCTGATACATGTTTTGGTTTATTTTTAGTACTTTTCATTAATGACAAGTGCCCTAGGTTTGGCAGTTCAACCCCTTCTTTATAAAGCGACCATAAAAATGGCAAATATGCCTATTATGATAGCAGCATATTCGTTTGTAGGTTTTTTTACACTTGGTACTCCAATTCTTCTGCATTTGATAGCAAAGAAGTATGTAATTCATTTAGATTATAAACCAGAGACTGGAACTTATATTGCCACAACACTAAATTTCTTCAGTATAAAGAAAGAGGTAACGAAAATAAAACTATTGTTAATAACAATCTATCCATTATTCATAATCTAGATTAAATTCAAAGACAATTGTCAGCTTTCAGACTTTATTGTCCTTAATAATTTTATTGCCACAATATGGCTTCTTCAAAAGATACAACTGTTAAAGTCAATAAGGATGATCAGACTGCTCTGTAAATATTACAAAAGACACTGTGATAGCAATATTTTCATCATCTTATGAAATTCGAATTAAGTGCATAATAGTCAGTTTAAAGTGGCATTCAATCCGACACAAAGTGGTATGTACTTATACACATANACCAAATTATTAAATAAAATTAGTATAAATTGTGCAAACTGTACACGTTTGAGAATTTTTTCAAGAACAGGATCGAGTATTAATAATAAAGACAAGAAGGCAGCTAACCAAATAATTGATTGGCATAAGAAAAGTAGCCAGGTAAATTATATTCGGTATTTTTATTTAAATGTAGCAAATAAGCATAGACATACGCAGTTATGTGCAAATTAACTCCTATGACGAATACTAAGTCAAGTTTAAGGCCAAATCAAAATAATCACAGATGACAGAACTAATCTCTGAATGCATAAGTTCATGATATTAAACTTCAATCGTAAGTAATAGTTAAAAAAATTCAGCAGTATACGCAATCAATATAAAATATAATCCTACTTTCATTATAAGGATTATAAGTAACGGATTATAAGACACACTATCTTAATTTTTTATTATCACTTCATGTAGTCAAACATATAGAAAAAAATGCGTAAACTATAAGATAATTTTTATATATGTCCATGTACATACATATACATCTTAAAAACAAGCATAAAAATCGTTGTTTAACTTGTGTAATTGTAATAGATAATAAAAAAAACATAAGCAGTAATTAGGCCTTTAATGATTTTTATGCTTACGTTTTATGGAATTTTTCTACTTTTAAAAGATCATGCATTAAATTTTCATAAAAAAAACAAATTCTTTCCATTAATTGCGTTCGTACTGGCGTAATTTCTACTATTTATGTAATTCATTTTATCTTCTAGTGGTAATGATATTATTTTGTAAACAAAAATATGCATTGTATGTAATGCTCTGTACGTTTTATATTATTATGCTTACAAATTACGTTACTTCTTTATTAAAATAAATTATTATTAACTAATCGTAAATACTGCATATATTTATCTAATTAATAATTTGTAAAATCAAACGAATCAAAACATTCTTGAAAATGGTTACTGAATTTTGAAACACAAAGCACAAAAGTATGTGAAATACCTATTTATAATACGGTGGCAGGTATCTGATATTAAATCCTGATAAGGATAAATGCGATAATAAATATGCAAAAGAATTTGTTACTTTGAAGTAAATTAAGGATTTGCAATGATGAATATGTGCTGATTTTGTAATATTGCTTCAAAGGAAAGGCAACAGTTTGAATATTTAATCAATAATAACTACTTGTAAGAAGTTTTGCACAAAAATAAATGGATAAGTTTCATATTTTTATCATCTAATAATTTAGTATACAATGTGCACAGTCTGCCTTTTGTGGGACACCCTGTACTTTTCATAAAAATAGGTATCATTATCTCATTGCTATTAAACAAAAGGTTTTTATTGTATCTATTTATAAAGCAACATTTTGCTTTACAGCAAAAGGTTTTATCATGGAAGATTATTATGCGAAGTTCTATGAATGATAAAGGTTGCCCTTGGAAATCACTTCCAAATGTTGCTGCTTACAGAGATTTTGCAGTTAGTCAAGAAAGAGAAAAGCTTTTATTTTACTACATTTGTTACTATTTTATTTAACAACAGCGTTTCATTACACTTTTTTTATCATTTTAACGAATAGCTTCAGCTATTTAATATTTATGTTTATCTTGGTAAAGCTCAATAATAGGTGCTCTAACAATGTAAATTATTGCATTTAATTAGAATTTAATCGGTTATTAAATTTGAGCTCCATGAAAAGTTAACAAGGTAGTATTTTTTATGTTCTTTCGGAAATAAAAACCTTTTTATTAATGTCGTATATATTCATTAATCAATATATCACGATATGATGAAGTTTTACATATTTTAATTGACGCAATCAAAAACATTTTAATCGGAATTTGTTTGATTTTATTAGTACATTTTCCTTTTTATTTCACAGTTAGAGTTTAAACTAGAAGATGTCCATGTCCCAGATATTCCCGGCATGTTTACGACATTTGAAGCCAAAAAAACACCCCTTTTCGTTGATTTGCGATTTTTTGAAGATCCCACACATTATGGAAAAATTATGGGCTATGATAAACCTATAGATTTAAAATTATTTCAAACGTCCGGTAATACTGACCAGAATAAATAATTTTTCATACATAGTTGTATTTACTGTAAATACTATTTAACAAATATATGCTTTTGTTTTTTTGTTGAAGTCTTATTACACTTTTCAGTTAAGCCATTCAATACTGTTAACGCAAATTAGTAAATAAGTACCTACTTGTACTTAATACCAATATTTAATACATGTACATATTTCTTTATCAGTCTTGTTTTACTTTGTTTCATAGGGTAATTGTAATAACAAGTATTTTTAAAATTTCAATTCTCTATAAAAAAGTTAAAATAGTACAGATGTATTTTTTAAAGTATTTGGTGCCTTCTGATTTGGTTTTATTTACTTTTCAACTTTAATTTATTTTCCAAAATCACGATCGATAACATTTAAATTAAAAAAGCCTTTAATAACTTATGTCATTTTTATTACATGTAAAAATAAACCATCAAAAAGATGGATAAATTTCGTAATAATTGTTAATTGTTAATAATATTTTCCGCAAAAAGTTAGCTACACATTTCAAAATATTTACGCGCATGTCATTTACAGACCGGTTCACTGGTTCTAATAAAAGCAGAACCAACTGCCGCAGACCTGCAGATAAGTTGAATCTGTAGTGCAAAATTTTATGAATTCGAAGAACAGAGGTATCTTCTATTAGTGTGATATTTATATATTATTTTCCCACTATTTATAGTCATAAATTTGTAACTTGCACAGCACGTACGGAGTTAAAGAATTTAACCAATTTAAGTGAAAGTTTAGACGTTATAAGGAACGTAGTGTATTGTTTATTTACATTAAAAATGGCAACAGACAAGGCATCTAACCAAATACTTGAATGGCATAAGAAAAAAAGTCAGGTAAATTATGTTATTTCAATTTTAATATACTAAATAAACTTGCGCATTTATATGTGGCTTATATGTTTATAACGAGGTTAAAGTCATGTTTACGACAAAATCAAAATAATTACATTATGTTCTACACTAAACAAATGATATAAAACAATTAATAATTTAAAAAATTGTTAATGTAATCTTGCTTCATCATGAGAATTGCAACTGATTATAAGACATATTATCTTAATTTTATAATATCATATGATAATGTTAAAAATCTCGAAAAAAATTATACATTGTGAATTTATTTATGTAGGGTCATAGGAAGCTATTAATACATATAAGTATTGAAAATTAAAATAGTAAAATCAAATATATTTGTTTACTTGTCATAAAAACTTTTTGGATAAAACAGGTAAACTTTAAATTAATTTTTCTTTTAGAAAA